CGAGCTGGCCCGCTCTCGCCCGTGGGTTGGTCCGACGGGTTTGCGAGCTTAGTGGGGCAAGCCAAAACGGATCGAAAGTACTAACTCTGTCCCGCCATATTATAGCGGGCAGGCTCGTCGGGCCTTACTTGTTTTGTCATTCCTCTGGTTGATCCCAGAAACATTTATGAGGTGTCTTTATAGTGGTTATAAGATGTAGTATAGTCATAATACTTCATCATGGAGAACAAAATTTATATCAGGAATGATTGTTTCACAACCTGTTTAACAAATGCAAAAATTGATATTACGATAATAGAAAATTTGATACCATGTTAATTTAAACTTAGTTAAATTCAAGATAAGTTGATGGAAGACACCTCATGTTACTGTGTATCAATATATAGTTGTAAAAATTATTCCACTAATTAGAGAAATTATTGTATTTTACAGTGGATGCTGACAGAAAATTTTTATATAATGTGAGAGACTAAACCTTGGTTTGTGTTCTTCCGATTTTTTATTTTTTTAATGGAAAATGATAAATGGAGACTCATTTTAACTAAATATTCATCTAATAACTCATTTTAATATTAATATAATAAATAAACTAAACTTTTATAGTAATTATTATTATGTTACTAAAGTGAGTTGTAGAATAGTCATACGAAGAATGGATGGTGGCTTTTCTATGAATAACTACTCTTTTGACATTCTCTAACCAAAGACAAATCTTACTTTCTTCTCCTTATTCGGTTGTCCACTATAGCTACAACCCAATTCACCAACTCCTGTAATTACACCATCTCCATAAACTTCATGTCCAGCAAGCCTAGTGGAAGGGAACCTCGTCCTCTGAGTCCTTCTATTGTTTGAAATAGCAGTTGACGACTCAGTTTTATCTTCTAGAGCACACGGGATCTGTGTTACAACATCCTTCTTTTCTTCCCAGTTCCAGTTGACTTCCTCATCTACCAGCACATCCCTACTAATCACCACTGTCTATTTTTCTGGGTCATACAGCTTGTATGCACCCGTTGGATGGTGCCCAATCAAGATCAGGGGCTCACTCTTGTTATCTAGTTTCCTCCTCTTCTCATCTGGGATATGTCTATGACATATTGACCAGAAAATCTTTAAATGTTGCACGTGTGGCTTGACACCAGACCAGGCCTCTTCTGGTGTCACAAACTTCAAACTTCAAACTTTAGGTTGGGCACTTGTTAAGAATGTAGGTAGCAGTAGTTACTGCCTCTCCCTAATAGCCATGTGGTAGACCTTTTCCTTTCAACATGCACCTTGTCATATCAACCAACATCCTGTTTCTCCTCTCAGCCAGCCCGTTGTGTTATGGTGTATAGGGAGTAGTCACCTCATGCACTATTCCCTTCTCTTCACAAAACTTACTGAACTCTATAGACGTGTATTCACCACCTCCATTAGTCCTCAAGATTTGTAACCTACTGTCAACCTATCTTAAAATTTTTTGAAAACAGAAAACACCTCTACTTTCTCCTTTATCAAGTACACCCATATTTTCCTTGAAAACTCATCAACAAATGTAAGGAAATATTTATTTCCTCCTAGTGATGGTGTTTCTAGAGGACCACACACATCAAAGTGCACCACTTCCAGCACTTGTTTAGCTCTCTTTGGTGCAGAGTCTGTAAATGCCTTCTTGGGCTGTTTTCCAATCACACATCCTTCACAAATTTTGGCTGGTAATTGGATCTGTAGTAGCCCTTTTACTATCTGCTTGCTACTGAGTTGGTTCAAACTTTTAAAATTCAGGTGACCGTATTTGTAGTGCCACAACCAACTTTCATCCTCCACATTAGCAGTTGCTAAACACTATATTTTAGTAGTGTCTAGATTCACTTTAAACGTCCTGTTCTTGGACAATGGTGCCTTAATCACGAGCCTCTGCTGTGAGTCATAAATCTCAATCAATTTCTGCTGCATGTTCATGGTGTAGCCCTTCTCTAAAAGTTGTCCCAGGCTGAGTAAGTTATTCTTCATGCTTGGGACGTATAGAACATCATTCATGTAGGCCACCTTGCCATACTTCCTTGTAATCATCACCTTTCCAATTCCTTCTGCCATAATGGAGCTATTATCTGCAAATTTAACATTGTTTCTCACACATGAATTGAGGTCAATCAACTGATTCCTGTTTCCAGTCATGTGATTAGAGCACCCCGTATCCAAGTACCAAGACATTCTATCCTCCTCACTGCCTGTTGTTTCCATCAATAGTACTTGGTCTGAATCAGACTCATTTCCTTCTTCCTGTGCCATATTTGCTTCTTCTCCTTTTTGACCCATCTCTGTCGTGTCCTCCTGCCAAAACTCATAAGAATAGTGTCCATATTTTTCACAATTATAGCACTGAATTCTTCTTTTATCATATGGTCTCCTGCCACCTTTTCCTCTTCCTCTGTTCTGGTATTCGCCTCTAGCATCATATCCATTATTCTCATATTTTTCCTGGGCCACTGTTTCATTGTTTCTGCCACTACTCCTGCCACCATTTCTGCCTCCAAATTTGCCTTTGGACCTTCCTTTACCTTTGTCTCTCCAACCATTTCTGCCTCTGCCTCCATAACTCATTTTGGCCTGTAGAGCCTGTTCAGTCACCTTCTCATCATTCTTCCTTTCATTCACTCTCTGTTCATGTGCTTCAAGAGATTTTTGCAGTTCTTCTAGTGCCATAACATCAATATCCCTTGATTATTCTATGGCCACCACAATGTGGTCAAATAGTGGGGGTTAAAGTCCTCAAAACTTTCTCTATAATTCTACAGTCTTTTATGTTCTCATCACACGCTCTCATGGCATTGGTGTTCACTTGCAATCTGCCAAAATACTCTGCCACAGTCTCCTTTTCTGTCATAGAGAGGAGTTCATACTGCCTTCTTAAGGATTGCAGTTTCACCTTCTTCTGTTGAAACATACAAGGATATGAATGTTGAACATACATGGATATGAAGCTTGTTGATTTTGATGATGATTCAAGAATAAAGGACTTAAAGATTTGAAGACTTGTAATGTTATGTAATAACTCTGTTTTTATGTTTTTGAGTCTGTAATATTAGAGTCCAAGGTAGTCAGCACATAGACCACTCTTTAAAAGCTCTAAAAACTCATTTTTATCAAAAACATACTGGAATAATCGATTAAATGGCAGGATAATCGATTATTACAAAAGAAAATAATTTTCAGTCTTTGCTCTCTAGAATAATCGATTAAATGCCCTGTTAATCGATTAATTGGGCTGTTAATCGATTAACTGGCCTATTAATCGATTAAATGATGTAGTTTTTGGTCCTCTGCGAAAATGGCTCTGGAATAATCGATTAACACTCAAGATAATCGATTATTTCAGTCAGATATGTGTTTTGAAATTCAAAATTGGACCAAGTTTCGAAAACCCTATTCCCAATTCATTTGTTTTCGAAAATCCCCAATTCCCAAACCCTAATCTCTCTACTTAAGGTTCTCTAAGACTCTTTGCAAAGTGAAAAACCTTTTTCAAACAAAACTTAAGAGTTGTGACTGCCAGAGAACTGTTTGGTAGGAGGAAAAAGGGGCTTTTGAAACCTAGTGTTGGCTAGAAGCGATAATAATCACTGAGTGGGTTATCTTGGTGGATTGTGTGTTGTGTCGTCTCTAGGAAAAGTTGTTCTTCATCCTTTGTGGATTCAAAGGAGGTGTTCATCTCTTGTGTGACTCAAGAGAGGTGTATTCTTTACCTTATCTTTTCATTTGTAATTTGTTTGTAAAATTGTGATTATAGTGACAGCATTAATCCTCTGTTTGAGTGATTAACAACTAGACGTAGGGTCTTTTGATCCGAACCAGTATAAATCGACTGTGTAATGTTCTATCCCTTCTCTATTTACTTTACACAACATTTTAATCGGTGAAATTTGGGAAAAATTTTAAAACCCTAATTTTTGTTTAAGAAACCAATTCACCCGCCCTCTTGGTTTTTGTCCGTAAACGCAAACATTCCGCTACACGATTCTAACATCTTCATTTTTCCAGAATTTCCATACCCATTTTGCAAAATCTCCCAAACCTCCTTTGCTGTGACAACTTTTGAGATCTTCTGAAAAATAGGGGTTGCAACACATTGATGCAGCAATACACGAGCCTTACAATCCAGCTTCTTCATCTCCTTGTATGTCTTCTTGGCTCCTTCATCTGCATTCTTGGGTGGTTCTTTGAAACCCACTTTCACGATCTCATCAATTTCTTGAAATCCAAGAATGACCTCCATTTTTACGCACCAATCATCACAGTCCTTTCCATTAAATATGGGTAAGCTTCCTGGGATCAAACCACCACTAGCCATGAGTAGAATAAGTAGCAATACTTCCAAGATTCCCTTTCTTGAACCTTGCTCTTGGTACCACTTGTTGGGTCGTCCACTATAGCTACATCGCAATTCACCACAATGAAAAAAAATCTCTGCCTATTACACCTACCAAGTGTCACTTTCTGCTCTCTCGGTTCTCTCTCTCTTCAATCTTATCTCGTCCTCTCTTTCTCTCGAACACACTCGAATCCTATCTTCTCCTCTCTGTTTCACCTCTTTTCCTTTTCACCAATCACTCTTCTCTGCTACCACAATGAATCACCTCTCTATTTTCACTTTCACTGGTTAATTTTCATTTTATTTCACTAATCATGGTTTTCCTTTATTTTGCAGGTGTTCGTGTCAATGTACAACAAGAAGAACAAAACAAAGGAACACGTTTTTATCAAGAAGGAAAAGATAAGTATACTGAAAAATAACTTTTTTATGCATACTCACTTTTACATGTAATGAAGTAGTATTTAAACTACCTGATTCTGTTTCTAGTATAAAACTAGAAATCTATTAGTCTAAAACAAACGTTTTCTATTACAGTTTTTGGATTACAAAGTCAACCCTCCTCTCTGTTAGTTCGTTTGTTTTCTCAACCTTTATGTTTCTCTGCTTCACAAAAAAGTGGCTTTACGTCTTCGATTCTATTATGGGTTTGTTTGAAACTTTGCATGAAGTGAGTTTTGTTTTTTCCAATAATTTTTTCACTCGTAAATGATTAGGAATCAAACCCCAAGAACATATTCATGTCGGGCTATTAACATGCGGTAACAATGGTCTTTCTCACATAGCTATTACTTGCTCTTATGTGCTTTTAAATCAGATAAACACAGGCTTCCTAAAACCAGCTAAACTTCAGTCAGGTTGGCATATAAAAATCCGTGTCTAGCTTCAGAACTCAAAGTGAATATAAAGTTGACTTAGTTACCTTAATCTTTTTAGCCAAAACTGTAAAACTAGTCTTTTTCAAGTTCGTTCGTTGCAAGAGTTGCTAAACTAGCTATGTCATAGTGACAAATTAAAATTGGAATTATTCTTCATAACAAAAACTAAATATATTGTTACCTAATATTTATTTTGTTCTGCTAAACTGCAATACTTGTTTCTTTTAAGGTGTAAATTTCCTAAGTTCGTTTTTTTTTTTTCTCTTTTCTTGAAAAAAAATTAGAAAAAATAAAGTCACCCCTCTAAGGTGATTGATTACCATAAAGTTGTTCATCTTTCTCATGAATGGCTGAACTTAATTACCTGAACTCAGAAAACAGAGCCTTATACTTCGCTTTATCCTACGGTCACTTTATGTTATCCTATGCAACTCGGTCTATATCATCAACTTTTCATTCCTTTATTTCATGGTGAGTTTGATTATCTATTTGGGTTTACTGTTGTTTGCCTTTCAATTTGATGTATACTCTGATTTTGTCACCTTATTGGAAGTTCGCTGAAGACATTTCGTTTCTATATATATATAATAATTAGTTCCATAATGTAGACATGCAAACAAATGATTAATGAGAAGCTTCCTGTGGTGCTTTATGTGATTTTGGTTTTATTGCTTGTTGGTTTGTCACTTTTAATATTATAGCTTATCCTAATGAGTTTTATGGTCCCCTAAATCGAGAAACTTATCAAACTCAGCATTTACTTTGATAATTAGAGACCAACCCTTTGGAGTTAATTAGGATTTGATCAAGGAACTACAAGTTTAGGTAAATATTTAATACGTTCCCGACTAAAAAATGATTATTGGAAGAGAAACTGAGTTTTTGGGATTTGCATATTCTTGGTTAGAACCTACATGGGTTCTAATAGTTTAGATTTCATTAGACTGAAAAGAATATATAGTCTTCACAAGAATTTCGTTCTAAGAAATATATGACCTATATTTCTTTAGATTTCTTAAATTTTGTTAGTAATGTAACTATAGAGAATAATACGGCCAATTATGTTTCACGTAGAAGTTGGTTATATATTTCTTATTTTATTATAAAATTCTTTCTATTTGTAAGTCATTTATGACACGGGAAGAACTCGATCGTACAACTACCCGCAAAATTTGAGAAAAGAATTAATCGTAATTTTGAATATGTTTTTTTATAAACCCTCTTAATTAGGACAAAGTAGAAAATACTTTGATTTTTAGGTTGAGTTGAGCAACCGTAATATAAAAATAATTTATTTTTCTTTTTTTCTTAGATTAGTACCAAGAATGAAATAATTTCCAATCTAAATAATTTAGAAGCTTCTCTGATTCATTAATCAGAAGATTTTCATTCTTAACTGTATAATTTTGACGCGAGACTGATAATGACATGTTATATGTGGCAAAGACAAACTTGAATTCCTTATTGCTCTCACTTCTGCTTTGACATTTGTTATTAAATATTGAAGAAATCACATTTTTTATTAATGTTTAACTTAATGTTGATGATGCAACATTTATTTTCAGGTAAGGGATTTCATATTGCAAAAACAGAAGCTGATATATTAGTTCTTATGCTAGTTATATTGGTAAGATTACTTCTGTTATTTAAACTTTTTTAGTCTTCAACAGTTTTGTTGAGTCATTTATTAGTCATGCGTGTATGATGTGAAATGTTGTAAGCTATGCTTTCATGCTTGGCAGATGTTTGACATCTGCACTGTACGTATGTCTGTCCATGAATTGGATGCTTTCTATATGTTGTTCAGCATCCTATAATTATCAATTCTTACTTTATTTCAGTGTCATTTTCAACACACTATTTGGTCTTAGCACAAGCTTTTGGATGATTGTGATCACGAGATTTCTTCTGGGAAGTTTGAATGGTTTGCTCGAACCAGTGAAGGTGTTTAACTCCAAATACTTAACATTTTCATCTACCATTACCAGGATACAGAATATTGAATATTTGATATATGATATATCACATGTTAAATCTCATTCATATTTCCTGTATTTAACAGGCGTATGCCTCTAAATTTGTTTCAGAAGAACACCAAGTGTTGAATTATTAGCAAACGTAACAAAATTATCAATTGCAATATAGTATTTCGATTAAATAAAAGTCGATTTCATGAGAAACAGTTTCAATGGAAATTCTCGATTATATGCTTACTAAGTGGATTAAAACAAAATGAATTTTGCATCAAGAATTGAATTGAAATTAAATGACAAAGAACTGTAAATTGTTTAGAAAATATCAATTAAAGGCACTTAAGATTGACTTCCTTCCTTTTCCCTCTTTTACAATGGCTATGTCCAATTAAGATCATCAATTAACCTAACAATGTTGATGTCACCTACTTAAATCATCCATGTTGATTCCTCACACATGAAATTCATAAGAAAACCTAATAAATGTTGATTTCATACACAATTAAGAGATTTACCAGCATTAGATTTAGGGTGTTAAGCAATTGATACATTCATTCCATTACTGGCAATTAACGTAACAAATATTCTTACCATGATCTAGGGTTCAAGATATATTTTTCAATCATATCCCAAACATCAAGAATAAATCATTCCAACGCACAAAAGATAAGAATAACAACATCAAAACATAGATTAATATCTCAAAATATCACCATGACACAAAAAAGTTCAAAGGAAGTGTACCCAATCCCAAGAGAATGAAGTTAGCCACTCATGGTGGACATTACAATGCTCCAAATGAGGAAGAAGTGAAGAATTGATAAAGATTGGATGAAACCTTAGCAGTAGTCGCGCCTCTTTTCCCAAAACCTGCCCCCTTTTCTCGAAACACATCTTAACTTTATAGGAGAATTTGGGTCTTGCGTCTTTCGCTCAAGCGAAAACATTCACTTAAGCGAAAGTTCAGTATTTTTGCTCAAGCGAAAAAGTGCTCGCTTGAGCGAGTGAGTTCCAGAGAAGTTTAACTAATTTTCGCTCAAGCGAAAATAATGGCGCTTGAGCGAATGACTTCCAGAGAGTTTTAACTAATTTTCGCTCAAGCGAGAGTCTATCTCACTCGAGCGACTTCCATGTTCAAAATCTTCTTCCTCCTTTCAGTTTTTGCTTCAATTATATTGACAATTATGTTTCTTGCTCTTGTATCAAGGTATTCTCAAATTCATCCTACATTGGGAGAAAAATATATTAGAATTGACATAAGTTAAGTGATTTCATAACATTTAAAAGCATAATTATATCAACTTTTTACCACTTAACAACTCCCCCCAACCTAGAATCTTGTTTGTCCCAAGCAAAGTAGTTTTTCCAAAATAAAATCATCACCTATTATCACTTTCTCTTCCAAAACCACAACAACAATAACTTTTCTTCTAAATGTAATGCTCACAACTGCAAATGAAAATAGGATACATAAGCATTAAAGTTACAAAAACTAACAAAGGATAATTAGTCATCAACTATCCTCAAAGAAGTTTGATATCTCAAATAGAATGATAAATAATCATCTCTAACTCTCACGGGTAAGTGTTTATCTCATTCAATCCCTTCATTTAGACACCAATATTGATAATCATCTTCAAGCAATCAGCATTTGTTCAGCAAGACTTAAATCAAAAGGTCTTTTTAGGCTTGTAATGGGGCTAGACTAAGAAAGAATTCATTGGGTTTTTTTGGGATATACAGAAGTATTTAAGAAATTCAAATCATATGAATGATTCTTATTTAACATTTCCTCAAGTCGGGTCTCAGACTTCATGTTTTTGCTCCAACATAAAGATAGTGAATTAACAATCTCACCAGTTATCATTCACACCACTTTGAATTTCTTTTTCCTTTCCTCATGCTTTGCATTTATCATTTCGGTTTAGCCTCAATATTTATGCTTTTCTTTTCCCTTTTTCTCAACCTCTTTTTTTCTCTTTTTTTTTTCAATAGCAATACCCAACAATAGCCTTAGTAAAATAATAGCTTTCATAATAATTTCATTTCTCAAATATAGGAAGGTGGATAAATATTGTTTAGGCTAAGGGGTTATGTTTAAGAAACAATCTTGTTTTTAGCTCAAATGGGGTTCAAATGGATGTCCTATAATTAATGCAGGGTTGACTATTTGGCTTTGGGTTATATCTACTCTCACTACACAATAAAAAATGTCTTTATCATTTTTAAGTTTCGCTAACATGCAATCACATCAAAGAATCAATCAATATCAGTTATCACCATAAAGTGTTATCACTCAATTTATCTATTTTTGGTTCGCTCCTCTCTTGGGTTTTGACTAGCTTCTCCAATTCAGTTAATTCCTAGTTCTCCTCGTCAATTCTTTTTCACTATCATACTCATCATCCCAAAATCACTTGTTATTGGAAACAATCAAAATAATTTTTTAAGTTCCAGATTTGAATTAGACAATAGGAAATAATTTCATATATGGTTCTAATAAACAATGTGCGGGACAACAAATGAATTTAATCAGATCACATTAAGAACATTAAACAAATTGAAGTTCCAAATATCAATTCAAAATATCACAAACAAACCAAATTAACAAAATGAAAAACTTAAAACATCAAATTAACAAAACAAGGAACTTTAAACACATCAAAATAAAAAGAATTTAAAAAGAAATAAATTGTCTCCCTCTTATTCATCTTCACTTGATGTTTCTTCTTTTTTTCCCTCTTCTGCTTTTGCCTCACCCCCTCCTTGAAAAGTTGGACTGTCCTCAGGCCATTGAAGTAAGGCTTGAAAATCTTGAGGAGAAGTCTACTGTGTACCTGGAACAATCTTGCAAAGAAAGAACCTAAGGAAGAAAAATGTACAAAAAAATTAAAATGCAAAAAGAAAAACAAATTCAAAACATTGGGTTGCCTCCCAAGAGCGCTTGTTTAACGTCATTAGCTCGACACCTATTTGCTTTATGGCTCATGCAGGTGAGTGATCAAGGTGATCTATACGCATTCTCCATCTCTTGATTTTCCTTGTGGGAATGAATTTATTATTTTCATTGTGAATAACTGTCATCCCACCTTTCTTAGGAACAACCTGTACAGGACTCACCTTGCAACTGTTAGAGATGGGGTAAATCATACCTACTTCAGGAAGTTTCAATACCTCTTTTTGAACAACTTCCTTCATAGTCAGATTAAGATGTCTTTAGGGTTATGCAACAGGCTTGTAATCTTGTTTTTCACTTGAGATGAGTAACTCCTCCAAAGTATATACTTTGAGGAAATCTTTCATATCTTTCGGTTGTTGTATAACTTCAAACAGATTAAAATTAACTTCATTATCGCCACTTATAATTTTCAACTTGTCCTTGTCAACATCTATAATTACTTTGACAATCTTCATAAATAGCCTTCCCAGGATCAATGGGACTTCCGCATTTTCCTCCATGTCCATAATCACAAAATCAACAGGAAATATGAATTTATCCACTCTAACTAAAACATCTTCTGCTACTCCATAAGAAATCTTTATTGATCTGTCAGTCAGTTGCAGAGTCATTCTAGTTGGTCTAACATCCAAGTCTCCTATTCTTTTGAGCATAGATAATGGCATGCGGTTTATGCTGGCCCCTAAATCAAGTAATGTTTTTTTCATTGGTAATGCACCAATTATGACTGGTATAGTGAAGCTTCCAAGGTCTTTGGACTTTTGAGGCAATGATTTCTAGAATATAGTACTACACCCTGCCTTTAACTCCACTGTTTCATCGATAAATATTCTTTTTTTAGTTAAGAGCTCTTTCATGAATTTTGTATATGTTGGCATTTGCTTCATAGCTTCCACAAAGGGTATATTGATCTGCAGTCTTTTGAATATGTACATAAACCTGGTAAATTGTCTTTCTTTGTCTATCTGTGAGGGAACCTTGGGATATGGTAACTTCTCTACAAATGGTTTTTGACTCCCTCCTTTTTCTATCTTTTGTTTTTTCTCTCCCTCTTCGTTCTTCTTATTAGGGATATATCTTTCTTTATTATTCTCCTCTTCTTCTCCACCTTCAATTTCTCCTTCTTCATCTTCTTTTCTCAAAACTTCTTCTTCAAAAGTTAGATTATCACTAATCCCCTTACTTACAACTTTTCCACTCTTTGTAGTTATTGAATTGCATTGCTCCCTGGGTTTGGCTTGTGTGTTGGCTGAAAAATGTCCTCCTTGCTGCTCAGATAGCTGTTTAGCCAATCTGCCCATCTGGGTCTCTAAATTTCTGAATGAAGCATCAATATTTTTCTGACTAGACAAAGTAGCTTGCAGGAATTTTTATAAAGTGTCCTCCAATTTGCTAATTATGCCATGCACTGGAGGATAATGTTATTGTTGATGTTGATATGGAGGTTGTTTGTATGACTGTTGTTGGTTTGGGAGTTGCTTATTAGATGGTCTAACACCTTGTTTCCACCCAAAGTTCTGATTATGATTCCCTCTCCATCCTTGTGAAAAATTGTTCTGATAGTTGTTGGGATTAGAGAAATTTTCTTGTCTTCCTTGACCAGTACTATCTTGAGCACTCATATAATTAGCTTATTCTTGTTGTAGGTTGCCTTGGTAAGAGCATTGTCCATTTGGATGATCGCCTCCACAAAAGTCACAACTCATCTGTTGGTTAGGAGTGGATTGTACTGCATGCATTTGTTGAGGAAGTTTCTCTATTTTGTGGTTCAATGCTTCAATTTGTTGGGTTATAAGTTTATTCTGGGCTAAGAGAGCATCTGAGGTGCTAAGTTCAAGTACTCATTTCCTCTGAACTGGATGTCTATCATGTTGGGCCTGTTGGTCTGTAGAGGCTAATGCATCGATAATTCTTGTGGCATGTTCGATGTCTACATCCAGCATGGATCCTCCTACTGCAGCATCTAATAACATTTTTGTATCAGGTCACAAGACAGTATAGAAAATATTCAACTGAGAAA